CTGGCCCCCCGGCAAGCACAACGTGGTACGTGGGCGCAGAGGGAGCCCCAGGCAGGCAGACAGACAGGCAGACCCCAGCCACAGGGCCAGAGAGAACTCGAGTCATCTTGAACGCACAGCTGCAGAATGAAAACAAGAATGTAGAGGGAACAGAGCGTTCCGGCTACTGAACTTCCTGTTGATGAGTTGTCTGGGCAGGGGGTGAGGCTGGAGTTCAGGGCTGGTGCAGAGCGAGGGCCAGGGGTGTGGGGGGCTGGCCGCCTTCGCAGGCGCAGCCACTTGGGAGCTGGGCTCCCATTTCCTCACTTCCTGAGACCCGCCATGGTCAGGGGTCGCATTGTTACCCATGTGCCCAACTGCACTGGAAAAAAAAAAACACAGGATGTTCGCTTTCAGATCTATTAAGCCATGAGATGCAAACCCCTTCCCTACCCCACCCCACCCTGCTCCCCAGCACTGCCACCCGGGCCACCGCCTCTGCCCCAGCACCTCCCTGCGTGACCTCCGCCCGGGCCATCTGAGCCTTGCTTCATGGCCAGCTGGGCTGTTCAAGGTCAGATCTAGCGCTTCACCCACTTCATGATGGTTTTAGATTTATGGTCATTTTGATGAGGAGTTCCCGACCACATCCCTGGGGGACGGATGAGAACCCGCATCAAATCAGGAACGAAGAATGCTGGAGTAACTTTGCCCTGTAGGAAGTGCCTTTGTGGCGTAGGTCCTGACGCCCCAGCGCTCACCCGGGCCCCTTCGCCTGCAGTGTCCTCTCCCCTGGTCATTCCCAGCCCACCTCTGTCCCTCTGCTGCTGTTTAACAGCCCCTACTACGTGCCATGAAAGAAACAAAAACGGAAAATACAAACCAGAAGCAACTCTGCCCCCGTTTTATTATCTACAAACATGCGGGCACTGTCCATTTTTTTCAGAGGCAGATCCTGAGCATAAAACACTCCCAGAACCACCAGCCAGCTCAAGGAGGCCAGGACGGATTCCGCACCGAACACTCACTCCACGGGTGCACGCGGACCCCACTACAGCAGGGCCTTCTGAGAGGGCCTCCGGGGGGCCCTCCCCTCCCACCCCGCCCTTTGCTCTCCCCTCCAGCATGCTGAGTCGGCTCCCTCCCTGCCCTGCCCCCAGCCCTTCCCTGAGCCCCCCACTCCATCAGGACCCAGCCCACCCGGCCTCATATCCAGCATTTACTCCGCCTGGGGACCCAGACGTTCAAGGGTCCCCGGTTCATCGATTGCCTTCTCGGATAAACGGGCTCCTCTAAGACAGACAGAAACCCCTGTCTTTGTGGGTCCGGGAATGGTGTCAGGTGCACCAAGAGGAGGAAAAGGTTACAAAGTCTCAAGGACGAGACTAGGTCCGAAAGAGAAGAGGGGAATGGAGACGTCCGTGTGGAAGTTACTGATGCTGCACCCCAGCACCGAGGCACCACGAAGGGACTGCAGCGCCAGGAGCCGGGAGGGTACACAGTGGGGTGAGGGTTGCCCAATGGCCGATATGTGGGAACAGAAAGGAGTTCAAATCCATATCCCTCCCTACACCAGTTCTTGGCAGGAGGAATAGTCCTTCCACAACCAACTTAGACTATTCTGGATTTACCACTTCCCCGAAGCTGGGAAAAAGCCCCTGGCCCCAGAGCCTGAGGGTCGCCCCCTACGTGTCCGCAGTGGGACCTCGGCATTAGCCTTTTCCTCCGAGCTCCCTGGGTCGTTCTCATTCACGCGGAATCGCAACACGCTCTGTGCGCTGTGTGATGCGCTTTGAGGAGTTAGAAAAATTTTTGAATTTCCTTGTGGCTGCGTCTAATCCCTCCAAAACCCGGGACACGCCTCAGAAGGACAGGGGGGTCTCTGGGCTGTCCCTTTTGGGTTTTTCATCAATTCTACCCATTATCCTTGGTGACTGACCGGTGTCCCTCCTGACCAGGTCTTCCCCACCTCCAGTCCCTGGCCAGCCTCTCGGCAGTGAAATAAGCTTCTTCCACGAGGACCTGGCCAAGTACAGAATCCTTCTTTCCTTCCTTCCTTCCTTCCTTCCTTCCTTCCTTCCTTCCTTCCTTCCTTCCTTCCTTCCTTCCTTCCTTCCTTTTTTTCAAGTTGAAATTCTCCTCCAAAATTGTGTAAATAAGCCCTGGCTGGTATAGCTCAGTGGATTGAGCACAGACCTGTGAACCAAAATTATGCAAATACACGTGTTTACAGCAACCAGTGGAACAACACAAAGATATCTGTACAAGGAAAGGCCTGAACCGTCTTCCTTCCTGTCTCCAGTCTCGAGCACCCCAGCAGACCGGGCTCTCTCTCTGCCTGTCGTCCCCCTCGGTCACCCGTGTCACCAGGCCCCAGCCCATCCTGTGGATCTCCAGCGGGGAGGGGGGATGGGAGTCCCATGTGATGAAGGGACTAGGTAGGGGGGTCAGTCTGGAATCAAAGAAATGGAGAGTTCAATTCTTACCACCCCCCTCCTTTTGTTCTTAACTTTTTAGTTTGAAATAATTTTAAACGTTGAGAAAAGTTGTGAGATTCGTACAAAGAACTCCACGTGCCCTTCGTCCAGGATTCCTTAGTTTTGCTAATTACTCAATAATTTCTCTTTTTTTCCTGTTTTGTCGAGGTGTAGCTGACAGATGAACTTGTAACGTGCAGCGTGCCCTTGAGGATTTGATACACGGACACATAACACGTAATTCGTTTACTGTAACTTGGATGGAAGAAGCCGGCGGGGACCACACGGCGGACCCAGCTGTCTCAGGGCTCCTGTCTCTACCCTACAACCCTTCCTCCGCCTGCCCTTGACCTCTCTGACCTAATGCTTTTGGAGATTACAGACCAGTCGCTTGGAGGATGCCTTCCTACGGGGCCTACCCAGTGCTTCCGCAGGATCAGGTTCAGGTTCACTCGGGCCAGTGCATGGAAGACGCCCTCTGGTCTCTGTTCCTTGGAGGTGGAGCCCCGAGCCTGGCGCCCCTTCCGGGGTCTCAGCTGTCCCTCAGCCACAGGTGCTTGTTGTGGAGAAAGGATTTGCTTTATTTTGTTTGTGCCACGTTCCTGGGGTTCAGGGCGGATGTGCTGTGTACGGTTTGAAGTTCATAATGGTGGTCATGGAAGAATATTTGCTTCCTGCTCTTCCTTGTAGAAACCGAGGGACGGACGGACGGATGCACCTCGGCCCAGGGCTCGAACTCACAGAGAGCTGACTGGAGCGCCGGACAGTTCCGCGGGCAGATGAAGGGCGTCCCTGCCCGACCTACGCTGGGCCTTTTCTCACGCTGGACACTGTCTGTGCAAAGCCTCTGCCTCGGATTCGAAAGCAGCCACCCCACCCATGTGCGTCATTCACGCAGTCACCCCCTCACTGAACAGCGACTGCAGGCCTGTGGCTGGTCTGGGGCGTTGGGACACGGCAGCCTGCCCTGCCCGGCAGGTGTCCCCGCCTGCTGGCGGGTGCTGGCCTCTACTAGCTGCTTGGCTGGTCCTCACTACCAGGAGTTCTGAAGGAGGGCAGTGAAGCCCCCCAGTCCCCCAGAGAGGGAGTGGGCCACCCCCAGAGGCGCGTTCCCTCCCCCCTGGGTTGTCCACTCCTGCAGCCCGCAGAGCCATGAGTGACCCAGCAATAAGAGGGTGTTTCCCAGATGTGCTATCTGGGTTCTGGCTTCGGGGATCTCCTGGAGGGGCAGGAAGGGGAGGTGAGGGGAGCATGGCCCTCCCACAGCCACTCATGGCTTCTGAAACCAAGCTGGGGCCCCAGGCCTGTCTCCCCACTCCCTCTCCTTCCTCCCGTGAAGCCCTCTGCCCGGGGAGTGAGCAGCCCCGGAGCAGCAGGCAGATGGGAGCCTGGTAGAGGCCGGGCGGGCAGGCGGGCCTGCTCGGGGCGGGTCTCTCTGTTCCGTGGCCGAGGGCTGGCTGAGCAGGGCGTGGGCCACAGCTTCGAGTCACCTGGGGTGCCCGCGATGTTATCTGGGCCTAACGGTTTCCTCTGGCTTGGCACTTCCGCCCTCCTGGGGGTGAGGCCAGGGACCTGGGTTGGGGCAGCGCTGCTCTGAGCAGAGGGGCCCCACGGAGGCGGGAGGGAGAGGCCCCGTGAGCTGGGGCTGGAGATGGGGTGAGAGACGAGGGGCCCTACCAGCTCGGTCCTGCACCTCCGAGAGAAAAGGGAAACAAGTCTGAAGCACAAGCATGCACTGCCGGGCTCCAGGAGAACCCCCTTCCCATGGCCCACTCTGCCCCGGCGCCCGCCCCTCTGCAGCTGTCTGGCTGGCCTGGGAGGGGGTGTGGGGGGCTTGCCAGTTATTCCTGGGGGCAGGGCCCTGAGTGCCTAGCTCTTCATACAAGAAATATTGGGCCCCCATTCATTTGAGCTTGGACATGGGGCTAAGCATTACAAAGAGCTACTCTTCAGAGTGTCTACTGAACTGCCTAGTGAGGAAAACAAAGATCAGAGAGGTCAGACCACTTGCCTAAGGAAACAAAGCCAGGGGAGCCGACCCCAGCAGTTCTCTGTGGCACGAGCCACTCTCAGCCCAGAACTCACCCTGCCCTGGTCACCGTCTGCATCTGAGGTGGCTCTCCCTTTGTGTGTGTGTTGGGGATGGGGGCACGAGATTGCTGCGGGACCACACAGAGATTTCCACCCACTGGTCTCAGAAGGCAGGTCCCTGCCTCCTCCCTGCTGGGGGCTGGCGGCCAGTCTGTGAACTGGAAGCAGAGAAAGAGGCTGCTCCAGATTCCAGGCGAATCCCTCGCTCCCTCGCTCACAGCCTAGTGCTTCAGCCTCTTTGCAGCCCGGGGGCAGGATGGCCCGGGGCGGGGGGGGGTGGCTAGGCGGGGCCTTCCAGGACTGGACAGCCAGGACGTACCCTTCCCTCTATTCTCGGGGACAGAGAAAAAGCCCTTTAACCAGCAGCTGGTGGGAGCTGAAATTCCGTCAGAATCGAATGCAGCACTGAAGGGGGTGCGGGTGGGGGGGGTGAGAGGAGGTTTACTGCTGTGGGAAGCTTAGAGAGCTTTGCTTGGATGCCTTGTTTTTCTCCTCCTCCTCCTCCCGACTTGCAGATGAGGGATGGGCAGGTTGATTGTGAAGCTGTGAGACGGAGAGGTGGAGAGGTAAAGGGTGAAAGGGCAAAGGGCCTGTTCCCCGGGGGCACCGAGCACGTGCACGGCTTCAGGGCGGGGAATTATCTCAGGCATGGAAGGGGCAGGTCCTGCTCTCCAGCCAGGACGCCGGGAAACCAGGTAGGAACTGAGTGTAACTAAATGGGGAGGGTGAGAGGGAGGGGGGGGCGGGGAGAGAGAGAGATGGGAAGGAGACAGTGAGGATGTCCGAGAAAGAGGGGAGCTGGAGAGAACAACGCTGACCCTAAGGAAGAGAAGGCAAGAAGGTGCATTGAAGGAGGGAGAGGCTGAGAAGGGCCGACGCCCTGGCAAAGACCCGGGTCCTGGACACACTTCTCCAGCGAGAGGCGCCAGGCGGCTGTCCCATCCATGTTTGGGCACATTAATGGCGTGAGGTGGCTCCCTTGCTCAGTGCTGCCCCGGAGGGGACAGTATCTGTTTAGATTTGTGTCTAAATTTAAACCCTGATGGCTGGCCTCCCTCCCCTGCTCCTCCTCCTCCTCCTCCGCCTCCCTCCCTCCCTCCCTCTCCACCTCCTCCTCCTCCCCCCCAGCTTCTCCTCCCCCTTTCCCCTCCCCCTCCCTCCTGTCCTCGCCCAGAGGCCGGCTGTCCCGCAGCAACCAGCCGGCGCCCACTTGCCCTGTGCCGGCCACAGCCCGGGACCTGGCAGGCAGGCGGGCAGGAAGCGAGAACGGCAGGACCGTGAGCCCCGGCGGACGAGCTGAGTGGCACCTGGGGGACATGGAGGTACGTCTGGCTGGCGAGAGTGGGCGGGAGGGGCCCCGGGCAGCTGCCCTCCCTGCAGGGGAGCAGGGCGCAGGGGCTGGCCCCGCTGCCGCCTGGAACAAGGGTGATACCGGCTGGCCCGTCCCACCTGGGAGACCCCTGGGGCAGGTGGGGGAATGGGGAGATGGGGGGGAGGACTGCAAAGGGACGGGGACTTTCTAGGGTCCAGGTACTTTGGAGAGGGACTTGCATGCTCGGGACAAACAGTTGGGTGCAGCCAGCTTTGGAAGTGGGGGCTGTGGGAGCACAGACCTCCAGAAAGCAGAAGCCCCTGTGTCCGGAACCGTGCGCTGGATGGGGGACGGGGCGGCAGCGCCCCTTCCCCACCGCCCCCCCCAGCCTGGCCCCGTTGCGGACAGTCTGGTGGCCCCCTCGCGCCTCCAGTCCCACTGGCTCTCACATCGTTGGGAAATCTCAGTAAAGGTCCCCTTGTGGGCCAATGGCACTATTTCTGATAAAACTCTGGACTCCCCTTCACGTCCCTGGGTGTGGGGGGTATGCTGGCGTCTCTGCGGGGTGCACCAGGGTGAACCCCCCTCCCCCGCTCCTCAGCCTGGGATTTTTCTGGTACCCTTCCGACCTCAGGACGTTTGGAAACCACCCCCGAAGTGGAGGAGTAGCTGGGCGTATCTCCGCTCCCCCGCCCGTCCCTTCTCCACATCCTGAGGCTTCCCTACATTTCTGCCTTGAAACTGAGACCTGACTGTTTAGCCCTAAGTCCGACCTGGGGCTTTTGAAAAGAAGAAAAGCGAAAGTACAGATGCTAGACCGTTTCTAAGGTGATTCCCACCCTTTTCCAAAGGAGAACCCCAGGCGGTGGTCACCTCCTGCAGATTTCTGCCGCCCCTTCCCACTCCAGGCTCCGCCCCGGAGCCCTGGCCGGCTCTAACTTAGCCGCCGCGCCCCCCCCCACCCCCCGCCCCCAGCCCCTGCCGGGTTATTACCGAGGCTCTGTGGCTCCTTTGCAGGGAGCACCAGTCTGTCCCGGGCAGACGTCCTGCATTGGGACGCCCAGCCCAACCAGCTGTCTCCAGGGGACAGGGGCTGCAGGGAGGCTTCATAAAATATGGGGAGCATGGGACCCTCCAGAGTCTGAGACAGACCTTTCCAGAGACACTTTGGTAAATCAGGGAAACTGAGGTAGAGTGGGGGCAGAGTGGGAGGTATCTCGCAGCCACATGCAGCAGGTGGTGGTCAGGAGTCTACTCGCAGGCCGAGGGCAGTACGGAGCACCAGGCTCCCCGCTGGCTGCCTCAGCTTCAGGACAGGAGCCTGAGATGGCCCTCGGCCTGGGGACTCCGGGCTGTGGGGCTGGGGAAGGGTCCTGGGAGGTGGGTCCTGTTCACAGGGAGAGTGCAGGGGCCTCTGGCCCTGAGCTGTGGTTTGGTGGGACCGGGCACCTGTCTGATCTGGTGCAGAAATGCACCGGGGACAAGATCAGGGCAAGTCTTCAGCCTCAAAGCCGCTGCTGCTTCAAGGCCAGAGCAACTTCGAACCTTGTTCTAGGAAGACACAGGGGGGCTCCTCCTCAGAGGCACGTTCTTCTCCCCCCGTGGGCACTGTCACCTGAGCTGCTCCCTGTGTGGGGGCGGGGGTGGGGGCAATGGAAAGAGAGGGCCCAGTGTGCACAGCAACAGGCGCACGCATGGGAACTGACGGGGCTCTCCCCACCTGGGTGCCCGAGCCGCAGGGCACCGCCACGCAGGTGCAAGCAGGGACGGGTCTTGAAACTGCTGTGTCGGAACGGCCGCGGGTAGAGCAGCCTGGTGAAGGAAGTAGAGAGGAAGCCGAGAGGCCCGGGATGTGACGATTCTTAGCCAGGAAGTGGACTCCTTACGGTGGGACAAGGAGCGCAGGAGTGGGACTTGGGGGTTCCTGAACCATCTGGGAGGACGGCCCCCTTGTGAGCAGCGAGCGCCTGGAGACCCGAAGGGGCCATGATACTTGGGGAGAAACCGAGTCGTATTATTCCCCGGTATTAGGAACCCAAACCAGACCAAGAGGCCCGTTCAACATTCCTCCTCCAGAACCCATGGGCCCACTGGGGGGCTTGGGGAAATATTTTCTTTTTCTAAGTCCGTGCGATCGTTATCAAGGCCTGCAATGGTGCCGCCGCCCTCCCCTCCGCAGAGCCCCCCCTCCCATGGGGGAAGTGAGACTTACAACATCCTGTCACATACATGAGCTTCAGATGTGCGGAGTGCCAGGTGAACGGCTGGTCAGCCCCTGAGTTCTGCAGTGTTGCAGGTTCTCGAGAAGGAAGCCTTGAGAGAAAGGTGGGCGGCGAGGAGAAGGCGCAGCGTGGGTGTGGGCAAAGCACCCGCTGCTTCCAGGAGAGCAGGACAGGACAGGGGCCTGGGGAGGAAGCAGGAAGCAGTGAGAAGGGAACCACAGGGCTGGACCCTGCACCCCCAGGAGGGAAGGGCTGCTTCTTCTTCCTGAGATGCCCCCTTGCCTAACCGTGCCCCAAAGTGGTGGCTTTTTCTAATTCGGACAGAGGCCAGCGGGAGACCTCCAAGGCCAGACAGCTGGGGACCCTGGGTCCCCCTCCTTGGAGAGTGGGCAATGCTGAGAGGTGTTGAGTAAGAAGGGACCATGGTGGAGCAACAATGACGTGGCAGAAATGCCAGTTCAGAGAGCGAGCAAGGGGACCGGGCGGAGGAGGTCCCCTGAGAGTCCGGGCAAGTCCTGACTTCGACAGGGAGCGAGAGAATGGAGAGGTGGAGAGGTGGGGCCTCACCTCCAGGTGGGGCACACCAGGGCATTCTCAGGACGCACGGAGAATGAGGGCTCGGTGCCCACGGCTCTAGAAGCCTCTTGTGGGCAGGGCCAGCTCTCGGATCGTTAGGGCCTCAGAGACTAATTAGCACGGTGCGTAGAAAGTAGCCGTGTAATTTTTCATGGCCAGCTTGCTCCACACATGAATGTACCAACGGGGGCTCAGACGCCTCCACCTGGGGAAGCCCTCTGGGCATCTCAGCCCCCACGGGGCCCTCGAGCACGGGGTTCGGACCCGGCCAGAGTGCCCAGCAGCATGGTCTGCCTGCCCGGCCTCTCCCTGGAAGCTTCCTTGAGGGCAGTGGCCTTGACTTAAGTACCTGGGGCCTGATGGGCACTCAGTCAGGGTTTGGTGACTGAGCCCAGAAGTGACCGATGGTGGGAGAAAGGTCAGGTTTGTTTTCAAATGCCAGGTTTAGATATGTTGGTGTCGATTGCTTCCGATAGAAATGTCCATGATAACGTCCATGGGAAACACACAGAGTAGGACCCGTCTCCGGGGGAGCCAGTGGGGAAACTTGCTCTGGCGGGACCCGGAAGAGAGAGGGTAAAGGAAGAGATGGAGGCTCTGGAAGGGCCTGTCAGTTCCGTAAACCTGGCTGGCAGACCCGACCCGAGAGCCTGAGCGCGCCTGTGAAACGTCTCCTTCTTGTGGCCGGGGTCCTTCGTGTGTCTGGCCAAGCAGCAGACGTGGGAAAGAGGCCGCCGTCTGGGCCCAGGGGGAAGGATTTAGTCGATGACAAACTCTGCTGCGGTTGCTCAAACAACAAACTTCCAGCTTAGAAGCAGGGGCTTAGCATACCCTTTCCTCTGAGGGGTCTCCAAGTCCCCCCAGAAATCGTCTGTCATCGTCCATTCATCCGTGTTTACTGATTACCTACTAGACTTTGTGTTTAATGTCACTCAAAATCGTTGGGGCTATCTTATCTTTTTATTCCCACAGACTGTGGATGTTATTGACGAGAAAGAGAGGGGGGTATATATCACTGTGTATGATGTGTTCTCTTTTGCCTCACTAAATATTTTCTACCTATGCTGTCCTGGGCCCCACCCTCTCGCTGGGTCACAGCTGCTGGGTGGAGCCCACGGGTTATAATTAGGGAGGGTCTGGCCCCTGGCCTGGGGTGGGGCCACTGTGCCCGGGGTCGGTGGGAGCCTGCGCCCCGAGGTCCAGCAGCGCCGTAATCTTATCAGGGCCTTTGACTCCAGAGGAACTAAGGCAGCACTGCCTCCCTCCAGGAATAGCTGTAGGGCCCCGTGACCCACCTACTGGACTCACCGGCAGGGAGGGGTGCAAGGGTCTGGGTGGGAGACAGGAAGGGGGCTGCCCGACCTTACCCTCGCAAGCTCCAGTGTGACTCTCCCCTGGACGCTGGTTCAGCCCTGAGGAGTAAGATGTTCATTTGCATCACAAAAGCCATTATCCACGGGCCTTCAGGGTGTTCTGCAGACATTTCTATCTCTGTCCTAAAGAGGATAGGGGCAGAAAGTACGTCACCACTCTGAGCGCTGTTGCTCCAGGGTCCTCCCAGCCAGACCAGCGGGGACACTGCCCTTGGAACAGTCTTTTGGGCAGTGATCTCCTGATCTTTTCCCTTGTGGGTTTCCTGGGCCCCTTTCTCCCGGGAACTGCGGGGAGTGGCTGCTGAAGGCCACTTGCAAAGTCCCGCTGATGAGCCGCATTCTATTCTAAGGGCAGGGGCTGCCCAGGAGAGCTGAAGTGGGTGTGCCCCCCAGGCTGGAACCACTGGGAAGTTCCAGACCTGGAGCTGGACGTCCTCTCCAGCAGGGAGGTGAAACCCCTGTGTGGCCCCTTCGGCCCACCCCCGATTTTGAACCTGCTTGACCGGTCCTCTGGGCATCAGTCACCACCCTCTCCCAGGCTGGATCAGCAACCCCTCATGGGCTACCACACACTAACATTTCAGTTCTGCGGACGTGCACAGAGGGCTTACTGCCTGCCGGGCCCTGGGGACGCAAAGATGCAGGGGTCACCCTCCAGGAAGCATTCAAGGTTGGCAGGCCAGGGCAGATCGGGGTGGGGCTCACCTGGAGAGAGATGGGCCCCCCCAGCCCAGCTGTGCCTCAAGGGGGACTTCCTAAGTCAGAGAGGATTCCTCCGCCGAGTCCCGAGGGTGAGCAGGCGTTGACCAAGCACAGAAAGCCCAGAGGAGCATTCCAGTCCCAGGGAATGACGAGGGCAGAGCTGCGGGTACCAGAAACAGCCTGGTGTGGGGGCGGGGTCTGTGCGCCGCTCCTTCCCCGCGGATGAAGCGGTGAAGCGGGATGGAGATATTTGAGGGGCGTGGACCAGACGCGGGTGCAGAGAAACGGACGCTGCGGCCACTGACCTGCTTCCTGTAGGGAGCTCTCCCGTTTGGGGGGACAAGGCAGATGCGCATGCGCATGACAGAAAACACACAGAGTATCTCAATACGTGTGCGGGGAGGTGCTTTCTCTCGGGTGTCCCCTACTGGGGACGCCCCTGAGGCTCGTGTGGCCTCTGGGAGGTGCACAGCCCGATCTCAGCCCGAGTCCAGCCCCAGGATGTGGGGGTCCCTGCTCAGGGTCAGCACCTACCCACCGGCAGCTGCTGAGGAATCCATGGAGACTCGCCCCAGCCCCCAGGGGAAGGCCCGCGGTCCAGCTCTCCAAAGCCACCCCCACAGCTGCTCCGGCGAGGAGAGGCCCCGTGGGAATAACACAGACACGGAGATCGCCCCCGCCCACTCCCGCCTGGGCCCGCAGCGCCCCCTCACAGGCACTGTGGGCCCCCAGGGGGGAGTCAGCACGAGGCCTGCCCTGGAGGTCCACTCACCTGGGGTGGAGGGTGCAGACAGGGCAGGAATGCTACAGAACCACTCCGGTGGCTCCATCAAGGCTGGGAGTAATCAGTCTAAATCCGTCTAATTTCTCAAATGAGGACCCGTGAGCCCTGGGCTGTGGCTCAGTCCATTGGAGTGCTGTCTCCTATACCAAAAGGCCGAGGGTTCGATTCCCAGTCAGGGCACATGCCTAGGTTACGGGCTTGATCCCCGGTCAGGGCGCGTACAGGAAGCAGCTGAGTGATGTCTCTCTCTCACATCAATGCTTCTCTCAAACCAATCACCATACCTTCGGGTGAGAATTGTTTTGAGAATCGAGGACAGGCGGCTGTAACAGGTCAGGGTGCTGTGTCTCCGTGACACACGGTGGCTGACCCAGCACGGAGTTATCTCTCGCTCAGGCCACACGTCTGCCACGAGCTGGCTGGGGGCTCTGCTGCACCCACCGTACCTCCCCTGGGACCCGGGTGACAGAGCAGGTGCCGATGCAGCGTTGTTGGCCGTCATGGCAGAGGGAAGAAACGGTCCGGAGGCCGTGGCGCTGGCCCCGGAGGGTCAGGACTCGACACGCACTCCACGCAGCCTCGGGGATGAGGAAGCCGGTCGGTCGGCGCCGCAGGATGGCAGCTGGGAATACTTCACGGGCCCCGTTGGCGCCCTGCGTGGGTGCCCTGCTCGGTCGCCGGGCGGCGGATCTGGGAGCTGGACTGGAGGGTGGGCTGTGCCTTGCGGCCGAGGGAGCGCGTGCGTGGCGGGCCGCTCAGGGCTCCCTCGCTGCGGGAGGGTCCGCAAGCCGTTGCGGTGTTGTCGGTGACTTCTAAGGCTCTTCACGCTTTGGGGCATGATTACGAAGGGCGGGTAGGCTGGAGAGGAAGCCCCTGGGTGCAGAGACGCCCCATTCCTGTGGTCCTTTCAGTGTACAGATGACACTCCGACCGCCCGAGCCCCCTCTGTGCTCCAGCGAAGGCCCCACGGCTGCTGCGGGAGAAGCAGCAGGAGGTGGGGGCGGAGAGCACAGGCCCGGGAGCCAGGCGGCCGGGCCTGCCTCCTGACCTTGCCGATGACCAGCCTGTGACGATCCCCCCGCCATGGGGCCTGGGTTTCCCGCCCGTACAAAGGAAACAACGACAGCACCTACATGATGGCGGTGGCGGGGGGGGGGGGGTGTCATGAGGATTGAATGAGCTCGTTTGTGACCGGCGCTTACTAGGTGGGGTGGGTTTCGGTAGAATAAGTAGGATTTATAGAGGAGAGTGCCCTCCCTTGCTTTGGGTGCCGCCTGGACTGGGACTTGGGGCGGACAAGGGGGTGTCCGGAGCTCTCTTCCACCCGGGAGTGTGCGCGGTGGGCGCTGTCGGTGCACGTGGTGTGCACAGTACGCCCGGGGCGTCTTCTGCGGGGCTGGTCCCTGGTGGCGGGGCTGGGCCCGGACCCACCCAAGTCCAGACTCGGGCCTGGGAAACGGGAGCAGCGAATCCAAGCGGTAGCTCCCAGGCAGCCGCGGCCTGGCTCGATCCACGTGCGTCTGAGAAAGGCAGGGGGGAGCAGACGCCAAAGAGCTATGTGGCTTCTCCCCGTGGGGCGGCGGCAGGAGCTGGCGGGGAAGGGGAAGGGCAGCGTGCGGCCAAGGAGCAGAGCGCTTGCCTACCTGTGTCTCTCCCCGACGCTGGACTGATTCTTCCGTGACCTGTCCTTGCCCTTCACACGTGCAGGGAGGGAGGGGCAGGGGGGTCTGAGGCAGCTGCGGGCTCAGAAACCGTCTCCCCTGACCCCCACCCCTAGCGTCTGGCCAGGCTTTCATTCGCCAGCAGGGCCATTCTGGTCGCTCAGTCATACTTGTGTTCCATACAGAGGATTTTTTGGCGAGATGAACTCCTTGGCCTTGGCTTGCTAAACCTTTTTTTAAAAAGATTTTATTTACTTATTCCTAGAGAGAGGGGAAGGGAGGGAGAAAGAGAGGGAGAGAAACATCAATGGGTGGTTGCCTCTTGCCAGCCCCGCACTGGGGACCTGGCCCACAACCCTGGTGTGTGCCCGGACTGGGAATCGAAGTGGTCAACCCCTTGTTTCATAGGCCGGTACTCAATCCACTGAGCCACACACCAGCCGGGGCTTGCTAAACACTTTTGTTAATGACTTGGTTGAAAAACAGAAAGACTCCAGATGACCCACAGCTGGGATAGTTAATACGCTACTTGACATATTCAAGTTCAAGTGATTTGTATAGGAAAGGGCGCTGAGCCAAAGCCAACATCATGAAATTAAACAGGGACGAATGTGAAGTCCCACGCCGGCGTAGGACAGACCTGGCCTGGACAAGCACATCCGCTTGTCCAGTCGCTCCACACGTCCGCATGGGGCCTACGGATGGGTTCTCGGAGGAAGTCGGATAGAGAGGGGGTGTCTCTGCAGCTGAAGGGTTGGTGGTGGTGATGGGTGTGGGGGGGTGATTTGCCATCTCCAAATAAATGCAGGGCACGGGGCATCCTGAGTGGTGAGCAGGCGGAAGCCCAGAGGTGGCCTTGAGATCAGAAAGGCAAAGAAGCTGCGGAATGAATGGAGGAAGGGGTCCCGGACGGTTGGCTAGGGGCTGCCAGGTGGTCGGGGCTGAGTCAGAAGGAGACAGTGGGACTGCATTTTCAGAAGGGAGCTGGAGGAGGAATTGCCCTGGTTTGCAACCAGGAGGGGCTGAGTTTCAGATGAGGCCTCGCAGGACTTTCCGACGTGGGAATTCAGAACCGGAGGTTGGGGGGTTGGGCCGAGACCTGGTCGCTGCCCCAGACGGGGGCGGTGAGGCCACTGGAGAGACAGGAAGCAGGGAGGACGGTGCCTCGGCCGTTCTGGGAACCCCAGGGCAGCTCCGGACAGCAAAGGAGCACCTCGGTTTATATGCAAATGGTCGGATGTTTAACTGACTACAAATTTAAGAAAGAAAGAAAGGAAGGAAGGAAGGAAGGAAGGAAGGAAGGAAGGAAGGAAGGAAGGAAGGAAGGAAGGAAGGAAGGAAGGAAGGAAGGAAGGAAGGAAGGAAGGAAGGAAGGAAGGAATCCCCACCTCAGCCTGTATCTCTCCATATCTCACAGACGGAGGACTAGCATTTTCTCTCCTGCCCACGCACGCTCCCCCGGACTCTCCTGCGCAGGCGCCCGCGTCCCTGTTCCCTACTCTCCCTCCAGCTCCAGGAACGGGGCCTTGGGGAGAGGGGTCTGACCTCTGGGCGGTCACCTGGAGGCTGGGACTGCAGCCCAGGAGGAAGGAATGAAAGGAGAGGGGACGGACCGATCGATCCAGCGGGCACAGGTGTTTTGAGAGCTTTCATTGGTCAGATCCTTTACCGACCCACAGCCACACCCCCGGGGGCGGCCCGAGTGGGGCACATTCTCCACGCTGTGGGCGTTTGCTATTGTTTTCAAATGTCAATTTACTGTGCAGCTAAGAGGGAGCGTTTGGAGGTAAAACTGTAAAAATGTATCATCCTAATACAACAACTGTTTTCTTTCTTGCTCATTCGTGATCCTCAGTTTTATCCCCTTAAAAAAAAAAACTGGGAGAAAAAGACAATTCCACCTCGTGGAACTACCTCATTTCTTCATGTAGCCACACGCGTAATTCTTACAAAACTATAATTGTGATGTGTGTGCCACTCGGCACACGACCTCCTCACTTCCTGTGGTTTCCAAGACAGTGTCCTTGTACTTCAAAGTTCTGTTTTCATTTTACACGTCCACCTGATATTCCGTTACACAACTACTTCACACCACAAAATTAAAAAAAAAATTATTGATTGATTTTTAGAGAAAGAAGGGAAAGAGGGGAGAGAAAGAGGAAAACATTGCTTTGTTTCTGTTCTCCTCATGGATGCGCTCATTGGTTGTTTCTTGTTACGTGCCCTGACCAGGAATTGAACCTGTGACCTTGGCACATCGAACGATGCTCTGACCATCTGAGCTCCCAGCCGGGGCCGTACCACAGTTTTCTTAATCGTTTTTCTATTTGGGGGCACGGCAGTTGTTTCCACTTTCCCCTTATTATAAATAACTTAGCTATAAACAGTACATGCATTTCCCCCCCTTCTTCTTCTTTTGAATTATTCCTCTGGCAGCGATTCCCAGGAGTGGAATTATTAGGCCAGAGGATCTGGACGTTGTTACGGCTCTCGGTGAAGGCTGCCAAATCGGCCCCGGCCTCCCGGCCTGCCTTCCGCAGAGGCCACTCTACCTGGTGCGCACAAAGCGCAGACGTGCCTGGGAGGGAATGGGAGGTGACAGCCACCGTGGAGGCTGACCCTCCCGGGGCCCTGCTG